GGTCTGTCATCCCAGCACTCGGGAGGCTGAGGCAGGAGGACTGTTGTGAGTTCAAGACCAGCCTGGGCTACACAGTGAGCTCAAGGCCAGCCTGGACTGCACAGAGATCCTGTCCACACTTCAGTGGTCACCAGGGCTGCATCAGCAACTCGGGCTCTAGGCCGCGTGCGGGCAGCTGACCTGTGCCCAGTTGCAGCAGTGACCGGATGGGGGCTCTGGGCAAGCTCAAGGCTAATGGTTAACGGGACCCTCAGCAACCTCAGGGGGCCACGGTGGGCATGCAACACGGCATGCACAAACACAAGCATGGAGACACCACAGCAGGTGCACATGCAGACACATGCAAACATGGCCCAGGACAGCTGGCTGTGGTGGTGCACACCTGTCATCCCAGCACTCGGGAGGCTGAGGCAGGAGGATTGCCATAGGTTTCAGACTAGCCTGGGCTACACAGTGAGCTCTAGTCCAGCCTGGACTATGTATCAAGACCATGTCTCCAAAAAACCCACAAAAGTCTGGGATGTAGCTCAGTGCAAAGGCCCTGGGGCCAGTCCCAACTGGAAAAGGAAATAATAAACAGGGACCCATAAAGGGTGTCAGGTTCCTGCGCCACACAAGAGGTGGCTGGAGACACGGCAGAGGCCTCAGATGACAGACGGACACATGGACGCCACCAGATGGGTCCCTGAGGACAGAACCCTACACACACAGGGCCCCCAGTGCTGCCCGCCAGGTCCCTTCCCCCGCCCCAGCCGGGGACGCTGTGCCAGCCGGCAGCGTGTGTGCTATTAGAAGGCGTGGGGCAGGGCCGGGCGCTTGGCAGCGGCCCCGGGGTGAGCAGCCGGGCTACGGCGGCGGCGGTGACCCTGCGGCAGTGACCTGGCCGCCAGACGGTGGTGCAGGGGCCAGATAAGGTTCTTCCGGCTGAGTCAGTGCGGTTCCCGGGGCTGGCACGGGCCAGGGCACAGTGCCAGGGGCTGGCAGGCGGGCGCCCTCCTGTGCCCGCCGCAGCCTGGCTGGCCGGGTGCCAGCAACCACAGCCGCTTTGATGAGGTGGCGCTGCCCAGCGAGGGGCTTCCCGCCCCGTCCCCACCCTGCCCGGCCGGGCAGCCGAGGGCCCTCTGGACACATGCCCCGTCCTGCACGTATCTGGTGGTGGCGGCAGCGGCGGTGGCAGCACCCTCTGCCCAACCCGGGGCCTCTATGGGCGGTGCCCTCTGCCCTGCTGGGAAACCTCAGCCTCCTCCTCCACTGGCTCCTTTGTCCCTGCCTGGACCACAGACTGTTCCATCCTCCCAGCGTGCATAGCGCCCTGCCAAACATCCCCATGAGCCCTAAACGCGCTGGCAAACTCATCTATACCCTTCAAAGCCCCAGTTCCAATGCCCCTTACCTCTCTAGCAGCTCCCCCTCAACCCTTTTTACTACGCCCCATTCCGGCCCCTTGGAGGCACACACAGGTCTGGCTCCTACCAGCCTGGGGGGACCCTGGGGCGCAAAAGGAGGAAAGTATCTGCCCATCCGCTCCCCAGCTCCCACCACACGTGGCCCCAAAACCAAGCAGCTCCTAGTGCTTGTTTGCTGGGAAGCAAAGGGGGCACCAATCAACCGGCTGGGAAAAACCAGGGACCGGGACTGGGGATTTAGCTCAGAGGCATAAGCGCCTGCCTTGCAAGCGTGTGGTCGTGGCTTCGATCCCCAGTACGGGGGGGGGGGGGGGGGGGATGGGACGGGGGGGGGACCAGGGACCACAGCAACTGGGGGGGAGGGGAGGGGAGGGGAGGGGAGGGGAGGGGAGGGGAGGGGAGGGGGCCAGGCCAGAGCTGAGGTCCAGTCTGCCACACCCCGTAGTCCTTCCAGCCTCCGGGGCCACCTACGGTTTTTCCTGCTCTCGAGCGGCGCTGAGCAACACAATCTTTTTTTGTTGTTGTTTTTTGTCTTTTTCATTTTTTCGGTACCAGGGATCGAACTGGTACCATGACTGCCTGCTTGCAAGGCAGGTGCTTATGCCGCTGAGCTAAATCCCCAGCCCCGAGCGACACAATCTTGAGACAGGGCCTTGCTAAGTCACTAAGGAGCCCAGGCATGGCTAGAACTTGGGCGCCTCCTGCCTCAGCCTCCCGCAAGGCTAGGATGACAGGTGTCTATCAAGGCGCCGTCTACGCATAACTGTGTGTGCATGGTGTACACAAGCTTCTCCTCAAAAACCAGGAAAATCCCCCACGTTCAGCACAAGTTAGCCTCACAGTCAGACACCCAAAGGTCCACACGGTCTGCACACTGGTACGCTCACAAACCCACATGTCCAGCATGGCCTATCTGAACACTGGAATATTAGTCAGCCAGGAAGAGGAGAGGCTGTGACTTCGGCCATAGCATGGCAGGACCCTGAGGACACTGTGCTCAGGGAGAGACGTCAGACACAGAGGACACACAGCATGGGCTCCACGGGCCGGAAATGCCCAGGATGGGTGACTCCAGAGACAGGAAGTGACCACAGGGGTGCCGGGCTGGGAGGGCCGGGTGACTGCTCACAAGATAGCCGGGGCTTCCTTCTGGGGCAGTGGGACGTTCTGAAGCCAGCAGAGATCTCTGCTGCCAACGTCCTGCAAGCCACCGAGTCACACACTCCCAGACGCAACGCACGTGTGTGTAAATCAGACCTCATGCTGCCGAGCTGCTGAAAACCAGGTTCCAAGCCCCACAGTGGCCGAGGACCTGGGCTTCAGGAGCCACCAGCTCAAAGCCCACAATGGCCACTCGGTGCTCGGGTGTGGCCCTCGGGTGACAGGAAGCTACCAGGATGCCTGCCCCATGCCAAGATCCTGATGATGCACCCTCCCCGGACCAGCCAGGAGCTCCTTGGCCGAGCTGGACTGCTCCACCCTGGGGGGCCCTGGACGGCCCTGGACGCTCGGGCAGCTGAGCCCGGCCTGCAGCCCACAACAGAGCTTCCCAGCTGCACGATAGAAACGTCAGCCCCGGCCCTGCCAGAACCCAGAGCCAGGCGGCGGCCAGCCAGGACTGCCACGTGCCGGGCAGGGCAGCGGGGCCGGCGCCAGAGTCAACACGGCCCGGCAGCCCTGACATCTGCTGGGCACCGATGCCCGGCCAGCTGGGCAGGTGGCAGTGCCAGCCCCAGCTTGGCAGGGAACATAGGGCCCGGGCTCCAGTGCCCGCCCCGTCTGCCCATGGCAGCCAATCGCCCTCCGAGGCTGCGTCCCCAACCAGACAGGGGGCGGCGTCCAGGCTCTGCACACGCCAAGCTGTGCCCGTCCTGGGAATCAGGTGCAGACTGTCACCCTGCCAGGTCACATCCTGGGCACACCTGTCTCCGTTTTTTATTTTGGGGGGTACCGAGATGGAACCCAGGGCTCCCGTACTGAGCTACATCCCTGACAAGGGTCTCGCTATGTGAACCCCAGACTGGCTTGGAACTCACAGCCATCCTCCTGCCTCAGCCTCCCAGAGTGATGGAGTTTCTGGCTCCTTTTCGGAGTTCAGTGCTGGGTTACAAACGCTCCAACCCGAGGGGCCTTAGGCTGCCCCGTGCTGCTCAATGATGTGATGTCATCCCTGACCTCCTGGTCATCACTGACCTGCCCCTGACACAAGGAAACTGAGGCGCAGAGCACGGTGGAGCTGTCCAGACAGCCAGGACCTCCCTCTCAGGTCTGGCCAGAGCTAGCAGCTGAGGCCAGGCACTGGGCGGGGCCTGGTCACGCCCAGGAGCGGTGACGTCCAGGCAGGTCTGCTGGCCGCCTGCCTGCCTCACACCTCGACGCCAGGCCCATCCAGCCTGGTGACATCACCCAGCTCCCCGGGACTCCTGGAAACTCTCCTGCCTGATTCCTGAAAATTCTCTGTCCTGCCCGAGCCCGGCTTGTGCTGTGCCCAGCACCGTCCCCTGCCTTTGAAACTGGTTACACCCTACGGCACCATGCGTCCGGTTTCCAGCTACCTCTGGGTTTATAGCTGCCTACACTGAAGTCTCCCTCTCTCCTGCAGGACCAAGAACTGAACCCACAACCTGCTCCCTAAGCTACGCTCCCAGCCCTGTGAGAGACAGGATCTCGGAAGTCACCCCGGGATGCTCCTGCCTCAGCCTCCCACACTACTGGGAGGACGGACATTCCCAGCCGTGTCGGGCTCCAAACCGAAATCTCTGGATCGCTAACAAACCACAAGGCCCTTCTCCACCCTGCAAGCACCCGGCAGCCCTCAGAGGGTGGAGCCTGGGGGGCCCTGGGACCCCCAAGCCGGTCCCTCGTAGCTATCACGGGTCGCTGGAGTCGTCTCCTCACCCCTGGCTCCCACTGGCAGCTCCGGGAGGCCAGGCCAGGCCCAGCTGGCCGGGGGCTGAACGCAAGCTCGGCCACATCTGCTTCCCATCTGTGTGCCGGACTTCAAAGGCCCCTCCGCCGTCCGGCCACTTCCTCCAGCCCGGCCGCCTGCGGGGAAGGGCCAGGGCCGCCCCTGCTTCCTCCGAGACCCGCAGCGGCCCAGGAAGCTTCTGGGGGTGACCCTGAGACCCCCCCACCTTGCCGGCCTTGCCCACCCTCAGCTCCTCATCCCAGCCCCATGTGCCTGGCTCTTCTGAAGTTGTATCCAAGCGGCCACCAACTGTCCAGCCTCCCACAGCAGCCACACAGATCATCTCAATGCGGACTTGAATTAGGGATCCTCCTGCCTCAGCCTCCCAGACAGCTAGGATGACAAGCGTGCACCCCTGCGCCTGGCACCCACCAGGTTTGGGGAAACCGACTCACAGCACGGGACCTGGTTCCTCGGCCAGTCCTCTCAGAGACCTCCACCCACCCTGGGGGACAATGTCACCCCACGAGGCGTCCTGCCTCCAAGCCTTTATGCCCTGGTCCGTCCCAGCCTCTCGCGGAAGCCTCAGTGTGGCTCCCCCAAAACCTATGGGCTGGGGTCAGCGCGATACAGGGTGATGGGGACAACTGGAGGACCTCCGGTCCCGGCGACGTCGTCAGACCCACCTGCTTGAACTGCTCCTCGTAGGTCCAGTCCCCGTGGTCCGGCGGCTGCAGCTGGGAGGTGACGTGGGAGGCCCCGCTGGGCTGTGGAGGGCCAGGTCCCGGCCGCTCAGGACCTCCGAGTGCCCTGGGGACGCCATCGCCACGGAAGACCTGGGCCGGTGGGGCCTTGCGGGGGAAGAGGCCCGCAGAGCCCAGGCCTGGGGGGCCCGGGGGGCCCAGCCCCTCTTCCTCCTCCTCCTCTTCCTCCTCCTCGAAGTCCTCTTCCTCCTCCTCTTCCTCCTCTTCCTCGTCCCCCATATCCTCCTCGAGCTCCTCTTCCTCCTCCCACTTTTGTTTCCTAGAGTGGACACAGGGCACAGACTAGTCAGGGGACAGGGCGTTGGCTTGTCCCAGTACCTCGGAAAGGGGTGTGTCTATCCCGGCCTCAGTTTCCCCTTCCAAAAGTGGGGACAGCAAGCTCCCACATGCTCAGGCTTCGGGGCCCCTAAGCACTGGAGTTATCAAGGACATTCATTCTGCTGCCAACACCCCAGGACAAGGTGACCTATTCCTGGGCCCAGATCCCAGCTCCTACCCTTCCCCAGGCCTGTTCTGCACCCCTAACCATCAGGCAGTTCCTGCCCCAGGACCTTTGCACTGTCTCATCTTCCACACGCCTCAAACTCACAGAACTTTGTGCACCGCCCATCTAAAGCCCGTTCCCCCCTCCAAGGAGCCACGAGGATTTTCTCTGCCACCCCACTGGCCCAACTCACATGTCCTCATCAGAGCCCATGTCCTCGAAGGGTCTGTCTCCTTCCAAATGCCCCAGCCCCTCCTTGCCTCGGCCAGGCGAGCCAGGAGCTCCTTCCTGGTCCATGTCCTCGTCCTCTGAACCGGGAGGACCCTCCACAGAGCCAGCACCAGGGCTGGGCGGGTGTCCAAGGCCAGCAGCGGCAGCCCGCATGGCAGCCAATGCGGCCATCTGTGCCCGCTGCATGCGGGCGCTGTCGGGGTCCCTGTCTTCCTCGGGGGCGGCCCGTATCCGGGCTGTGGGTCCCGGGGCAGGGGTCTCGGGCGGCGGGGGCGGCTGCTGCCGTGCCTCCAGCTCCTGGTGTGCCCTCTGCTGCCGCTGGAGGAGGGTCTCCATCACGGCCTGCAGCTTCATGGCTCTGCGCGCTGGGCCGCCGCCCCGGGCACCGGGGCCAGGCGGCGGGGGCGGCCCCTGCGGGGAGGGAGCCCGGCCACACTGCAGCGTGGGGGTCTCGGGGGAGCTGGGGCAGTGCAGGATGGCGGGGAGGGCGGGGGCGGGGGCCGCCGGCTCAGGCTGAAGGCTGGCAGGACATGCCCGGGGCGGCCAGCCGGGGCCCTTCGCACGTGGGGGACCCGGGGGTGATGGCTGGGGTCCGGCTCATTCACGGGCTGGCAGGCACCTGAGGGGGAGCAGAGAGAGAGAGAGGACAGACAGACAGACAGACAGACAGGCAATAAGACCACGGCCAGCCCCGTGCATCCCACATCACATCGCAAAGGCTCTTGGGAGAATCCCTGGCCCCTGTGCCCAGCGGGACGCACACCTGGTAGCCTCCCCGGACACAGAGGGGCGTGTGGTCCCCATGGCCCTCTCTGGCTGCCCACTGGCGTGAGACTGGGTAACAGGGCCACCCCCGCCAAGCCTCAAGGGGTCTCAGGGCCACCGGAAAATGCACTGCTGCCACCTGGGTCACCCAGCGATCTCGGGGTTTCTGTTGCTTCATAAGGAAAGTCGGGGAGACCTCGTGTTCCTAGATTCTGATTGGCTACAGCCAGTCAGTTCCGGACCCCAGAATCCAGCCGGGTTCTGGGCTCTAATTCCAAGGTCTCAGTGCCACCCAGGCCCAGGTTGGGGCAGCCCAAACCAGGCACCCCAGGACCCCTCCTTCCTGGTCTCTCTCAGCGCTGAGCTACACCCCCAGCTCTTGCAGGTTAAAGACAGGGGTGAACAGCCCGCATTTGGAGATCCTCCTGCCTCGGCCTCCCAGGGAGCTGGGATGTCGGGCATGCGCTGTCACGCCCAGCTCCTCTGTTCTGATTAACAGACAAAGTCAGATCGAGGGCCTGCCGTGACACCCCCTACCTAAACGGGCACCTCACCACACAGCGAGGCCCACACTGTGGCCCCTCTGGGCCTCAGTTTACCCCCTGGCCAAACATCGATAATGACAGCAACGGAAGGGGAGGGGATGGAGCGGACCTGTGGCCCCAAAGGTCAGTATACAGCAGGTGCCACCTGGGGGTCAAGGGGCTCCCCATTTGCCACTGGGGAAAACGGGTGCCCAGGTGAGGTCAGGGCCCCTCATGCTGGCTCTGCTCTCCGCAGGTGGCAGGGGTCTGTGGTCCCTATGTTGGGGCCTCCTGGGGCAGATATCCCACAATGCAATGCTACTGCGCTCTGCCCTCCCAGGGGCCCAGGCTGCCCCAGGCCATTGCCACCCACCTCTGCCCAGGGTGGGACCAGCATGGGGACAGAGTGGGCAGAGGGAGAGGACAGGAGGGTCTAGGAAGCCGCCCCCAACCCTGACGTGGCAGATGAACCCAGCGTTCACCCAGGACCGGAGGGGTCGGGGAAGGATGGAGGAGCTGGGGACAGGCTGCAGCCACGGGGATCCTGGCCACTGGACACACGCGGGACCCCGGGGTGGCCTCCCTCCCAGGGGCCTCCTCAGCCCCCAGACTTCCAGTGTCAGGCAGCTGGGGGAGCCAGGTGGTGGCCCCACGGGAAAAGGAGGCAGGGGACATCCCAAGGGGACTTGGCTGGTGTCACCGTCTGTCCAGCAAGGGCACAGGTCCCAAGGCACAAAGAAGACCTCGGGGAGTTCTGTCCTCCAGAGGTCGCCAAGTCAGCACCCAGGGCGCCCCCATCTCCGGGATGGTCACCAGTCGCCGCTGGACCCAGGAAACGCTGAGGGGACATTTCTGCACGGCCGCCCCTCCCCCGCCGTTGACAACTTGGAGCCGAGCCCCCCCTCACGGAAACGCTGCAGGCGACGCCCCCTCCTCGGTGGCGGTGCAGGGTGGGGGGCAGAGGAAGAGGCCTGAGGAAGCCGCTCCTCCCGCTGCCCTCCTCGAGGGCCGCCGGGTTTAATGACCCTTCCGGGTCGCCGGGTGGGGGAGGGGCTCGCCACGGGCTCCTCCACGTTGGGGCTGGCGGAGAGGAAGGGGGGCAGGTGGGCACCCCAGACCACCTCCTGACCCCAAGACCAGGCCTGGGCTCCCCCATCGGCGCCGGCCCCCAGCCCACCCCCCTGACGCCGGCCACGCTCACCCTGCAGACCCCTCCTCCTCCTCCCCAGCCCTTTGTCCTCCGCCCCCACCCCGATTTTATGACAGCCCCGAGGAGAGGCTCCGCCAGGCGGGGCGCCGGGTGGAGGGTGGTCGCCCGGACCCGCTGGGTGGGGGTTGGGGACCGACCCGGAGCCACACCCTCCTGCCCCCCCCCAAGCCGGAGTGGGGGAGGTCACCCGCTCGGCCGGGCCTTGCAAAACACGGTTATTTAAAGAGTTGTGCAAGGCTGGAGCCCGCGGGTGGCGAAAGAGGCCCCCCTTGCTCCACGCAGGGAAGCACGGGGGGGAGGGGAGGGCGGCGCGCGGGGCTTGGGAGGGGGCTGAGAAAGTGGGGCGGGGAGGGGGCTCCCCCCAAGGAAGTGAGAATACCAAAACCCCAGCGGCAGCGGCCACAGATGATAAAAACCCCGTCCGGATTTCAAAGGCTTCTTGGAAAGCGGCCGATTTGCATGGGGACGGGAGGAGGGGGACCCCTGTGGCCCGAGCGGCTAAAAACGGAAGATATTTGACAAACCCGCCGCCGGGCCCGGCGCGAACGTTGGAGTTGACACACGCGCGCTGCCCCCCCCCGCCCGCTTCCTGCGCCCGCTTTTGTGTCTTGGGGTGCGGGGAGGTGCCAGTGCTGGGGAGGGGGCTCTCCCTGGGAACCCGGGCCCCGGGAACGCAGCGGGGCGGCCGTGGGAGCCGCGGTGGACACTTCCGAAGGGAACGGGCCAGGCTGGGAGGGGCTCCCGGCACTGCCCACCTAGGGGCGCGCCAGTGCCTGTCCCGGTTTGGGGGGGAAAGGGGGGAAAAAGGGAAAAGGAAAAAAGAAGAAATAAACCCCGGGAGCGCAGACCCCGCGCGCGCGCGCGCAGAGCGCATTTCCTTCCGCCGGGTCCGGGGAGCGCGTGCCCGCGACCCCCCAAGCTCCCGGCGCGCCTCGGCGCACTTGGGTACCCGGGGAGGTCCCGGGGTCCGGGCTAAGGCACGGACGATCACCCCTCCAACTGCGACGGGCCAGAGGCGCCTGCCCAGACCCGGCTCCCCATCCGCGTCTCCACCTAACTTTGGAGACCCCACCCCCACCCGCTCTTCGGTCTCCAGGGCGCGGAGCGCGCAGCCCGGAGCCCGAGCGCGCTGCAAACGGCCTTACCGCGCGCGGCGGCTCGGGGGGCGCATGCCCGGGGCCCGGCCTCCCCGTCTGCCCCGCCTCGCCGGCCTCCCCCGGCGCCGGTGCGCGCTGTAGGCTCCCGGCCACCCGCCGGGCTCGTGCTGGGCGCGCCGACTCACCGACTCGCCGAGCCCCGTCCGCGTCTACACCCCCATCCGCCCGGATTGGTACGAGGCTCCCCGCGCGCGGCCGGCCCCCCGCCCCGCCCCTCCCCCACCCGGCGCTCACCGCCCCGCGGACAAATCACCGGGTGACGAATCGCTCTCAGATGCAAATACCTCGCCGGTGATTCAGCGTGGTGGGCCCGGGACACGGGAGGGGGCTCGCGGGACCCCTCCTTTTTCTCCAGACGCCCCCCAGCCCAGCCCCCCCCGCACCGATCTCCCGCGCTCGGGCGGACGACGCTCAACGAAACCTAAGAGAGGCTGGGGGGGGGGGCAGAGAGCGGACGGAAATTTTCAGGTCGCGGCCCCTTTAAATGATAATAAATAATAAAAGGGAAGGGGAAGGGCACCACCGAAGGCCCCGCCCCCTGCCCTAGGGACCGTCGGCTAAAGGCGCTCCGCGATCCCGAGCGCAGAGGGAGCCAAGGGCAAGGGCGGGGCTGCGACCGGCGGAGGAGTCTACGGTCCGGGCTAGGAGCGGGATCGGAAAGCGACCTTGGCACCCTGCGGTGGGCGGGCGGGCTAGAAACCGATTTGCGTCCTAAACCTTTTCCCTAGCTTACCTGCTTGAAAACAAGTTTAAGGGCTGGGACTTGCACCTCCGCCCCTTAGGCTGAGCCACCCGGAGAAAGTGATTTCACTCCCCGGCCTCGGTTTCCACGTCCGTGCAATGGGCGTATTGACCCGGAGAGCGCAGAGCCGCGGGGACAGCGGGGCCAGGACGGGAGGAGACGGACGAGGACGCGCTGGGAGGCAGGGAGGGAGGGAGCCAGGCCCTGCCCGTGGGGAGGAGGGCGCGGCCGCGGGCGGGGCTCTGCGCGCGCAGGGACGGGGAGGGGGGGGTCCCCGCGGGGAATCCCGGCGACCCCAGCTGTCGCCACCCCGGGGAGCGCGACAGCCACGCGAGGGAGGGGAGATGCGAGGCTCCAGGATCAGCTTCCAAACAATGGTGTCGCGGGGCGGGGCGGGCGCTGGCCCAGGCCTGTCATCCCAGCCCGGAGGGAGGCTGAGGCAGGAAGATCACCGATATCGTGTCAGAATAAAAAGAAGGCCAGCGTCGGTAGTTCAGTGGAGGAATTCTCAAAATAAAAATAGGATAAGGCCCTGGGTCCCATCCCTATATTAATGATAATAAGATAATTATAATAACTAGTGCTGTCTGCGCTGGGCGCTGGATGCAGCGCCCTCCCAGGGTCACCCCGTTTCTAACCTGCAGGGTGAGGGGACCGAGGTACAGTGCAGTAAAGAGGGGAGATCCGGGCTCTCCAGGAGCCCCAGGGAGGACCCACAGCCTAGATAAGGCCCTCGGGAACACGGGGACGGGCCACCCAGAGGGACTCTGCTGCAGTGGTGGGGGTCCTGGGCAGCCCGCCTCCCCTCCCCTCCCGCCTTCTCAGGACTGCACAGCTAGCAGAGTCCTGGGCTCCAGGGATGGTTCTCGCTGCCAGCAGGGCTGGCACTCAGGGCTGTCCCCAGGGCCCCGCAGCCTGGAAGTCAGTCACAGGTACCTGGAAACCTCCAGCCCCAGGCCATTAGACACCGGGCGGCGGGGGTGTGGCTGAGCGGGGAAGCACCTGTCTAGCCAGACAGAAGCCCTGGCTCCCTCCCCAGGATCTCTCTCTCTCTCTCTCTCTCTCTCTCTCTCTCTCTCTCTCTCTCACACACACACACACACACACACACACACACACACACACACAGCACAGGCAGGCAAGGTGGCATAGGCCTCTCATTCCAGCACTCTGGAAGGCTGAGGCAGGAAGGTCTCAAGCCCAGCCTGGGTAATTTAGTGACTTAGCATCTCAAAAAACTAAAAACAGCGCAAGGTGTCCTGCAGTAGTGTGAGGGCCCTAAATTCAATCCCCAGTACTACAAAACAAAGAGCCAGGCACGATGGCACATCTGTAATGCCAGTGCTCAGGAGGCTGAGGCAGGAGGACTGCTGCAAATTCAATCAAGCCCAGCCTGTCCTCCATAGTGAGACCGTCTTAAAAAACAAATAAATAGGGGCTGGGGATTTAGCTCAGCGGCATAAGCACCTGCCTTGCAAGCAGGTGGTCGTGAGTTTTCGATCCCCGGTACTGATAAAAATGAAAAAGACAAAAAAAAAAAAAAAAAAAGAAAGAAAAAGAAAACAAATATACAGGTTAATATTGAGTAAAAACCCAAAGGAGAGGCAGGACAGCCCTCCCCCAGGGCACAGGCAGTAAGGGAACATCCTGGGATAGAAAACTTTGGGGGAACCGGGTCCCAATTTAGGTCTCTAAGATAGGGCAAGATAGCACAGACCAGGAATCTGCCAACTTTGCGGGTGGGGAGGACGTATGTCTCTACCTCAGTTTACCCCTCTGCAAAATGGGCTGCTCTGATGTCACCACGTGTCTAGGGGTTCTGGGGATTACTCACAAGGCAGAGGGCAGGGTGGGGGCGTGAGGGCGGCGGGATGCAGACCCTGCGGTCCCCTGCCTGTGTGGCTACTGCCCTCCCAGAGGGAAGGAGGCCTGGGGCACCCAGGCTGCCCACAGGGTGAGGTCCTATTTTTAGGCCAGGGAATTTACGTGGCGGCTGGCAGGCTGGCTGCGGTGCAAATCGAGGTCAGCGCGGATCCCTCTGCCTGCAGCTTTCAAGCTGTGAAATGGCTACAGCGCACCCCAGCCAGGCCTCTGCTTCTCCTGGCTCAGCCCTGCTCCTCGGTCTGCATCAGGGCCTCCTCCCAGGCCCCTTAGTGTCTTTATTTTGAAACAGCTGTATTTTAGAGCGCTCTGCCTGCTTCCCCGCGCTGAGGGCAGAGCCTCTGAAGTTGGAATGAATGCATTTGGATGATTTCTCTCGCCCCCAGATTTGCTTGTCTCTCCACACAGAGGTCTCTAAAATAATCTCAAAAATACAAAATAAAAGCACCCAGAGGGGACCCAGGATATAGCTCAGTGGCACAGCCTCTGCCTGGCAAGAGAAAGGTCCTGATTTCAATTCCTAGTACTCAGGGGGAGGGGCGGGGCCAGGTTTGGCAGTACACACCTGTAATCCCACCTCTGGGGAGGCTGAGGCAGGAGGATCCCCAGAGGTTCACAGCCAGCCTGGACTACAAAATGATACCCTTGCCCAAAAACAAAAAATAACCATAAGTGCGTGGCGCTGAAAAATTCACAAAGAGGCCCTAAGTGTCGCTCTTCACAGCACCCCACACTTCCAGCCCCAGCTGGCTCAGGTTAGGGTGCTAATGAGCGGCGTCCCCAGTGTAGGGCGGAGAAAGGGAAGCCAGCAGGCTGCGCAAGGCGCGCGCGCCCCCTGCTGGACGTTCACAGAGCTGCTTGTGGGCGTGTCCGAAGGGGGCGTGACCTGAAGTAGGCAGGCAGGGCCGGAGGCGTATGGGTGGGGCCTGATGTGCGTGGGCGTGGCCTGCAGCGAGTTGGTGGGACCGGCGCTGGCAGCCACCAGGTGGCGCAAGATCACTTCCACAAAGACTGGCGCAGCCAGGCGCGCTGGGAGCCAGCACCTCAAGTTCCAGACCAGCCTGGGCTACAAAGTGAGTTCGAGGCCAGCCTGGGCCACCCAGAGAGCCCCTGTCTCAAATGCACAGACAAACAAGACCACTGAAGATGAGGGGAAACTCAGGCCTGCAAAACCTTTTTTTCCCCTTTACATTTTTCTGTTGTAATTAGGATTGAACCCAGGGCCTTTGCACCGAGCAACATCCTTGGCCATTTTTTTTTTTTTCTTTTCTCTTTTTGGTACCAGGAATCAAACAACTTCGTGCTTGCCAGGCAGGCACTTGTGCTGCTGAGCTAAATACCCAGCCAGGTGTTCCATTTTTAAAATTTGTTTTTTCTCAAAATAAAAAATCCACATCAGTCTCTGTACATACCACCACAAGCTTGATTAGTCAGCCCTAGCACAGGGATCCGGTCCTCTACAGCTGACCCTGGGTACACGGTGGGGAGCACCACAGCCCTGCCCCTGGAGGAGACCCACAGGGAGGTCAGCCTTGGCATGTGGCAGCTCCTGGCCCAGCCTGGAGGGCTTCCTGGAAGCAGAGGCAACCGAGCCAAGATGCCAGTCATGAGTTTCAGCTGGCCTGGCACAGGGCAACCGGCCCGTGGGAAGCCCAGAAGGTAGGCGGGTCCCAGGGGCCGCACAAGTGTGGCCAGGACAGGTGAGCAGAGGGGCCAACACCCAGCGTGTGCTACAACAGCCAGGGATGATTTTTTTTTTCCTGTCTTTTTGAGACAGAGTCTCACTGTGTAGTTCAGGCAGACCTGGAGCTCACTTTGTAGCCCAGACTGGTCCCGAATTCACAATGATCCTCCTGCCTCAGCCTCCCAAGTGCTAGGATGACAGGTGTGAGCCACCATGCCCGGCCTTGGTCCACTTTTTTTAGGAAGCGCAGAACCCAAAGTTTTCTCATAGAGCTACGCCCCCACCAGACCTTTTTTATTTTTATTTTTTGGGACAAGATCTCGCAGTCACTAAACTGCCCAGGTTGGCCTTAAACTTGCGATTCTCTTGCCTCAGCCTCCTAGAGTGGGGACCAAAGCTGCCTCTAGTTTCCCAGGTGAGGCCCAGGCACCGAGATCAAGGTCCTGCGGTCAGGGATAGCGGAGCTAGCGCGTGGCCGAGCTAGCCGTCAACCACAGACCGGACCCTGGGCACACTGACGCTGCAGGACCGTGGCTTTGGTTTGGTTTTGTTCTATTTCACTGTGGGGCTGGGGCTGGAACCCCAGCACCTCCTGTATGCTAAGCTCCTGCTGTGCCACTGAGCTATACCCCACCCCTCACTGGTCTGTTTTGGGGTGATCTGCTACGGAGCAATTGATCGTGTGTGCTCGCTCGCAGCCCCGTGCACTCCAGCCCACACAGAAGTGATGAAGAGGACGATTTCGCAGTAGGAGGGACTGAACCGGGCCGCTGCACTGAGACCTCCCCCAGGCCTGTTAATTAATTGTTTTATTCAGTTAAACCAGAGGCTTCCTAAGTTGCTGAGTTGCCCAGGCTGGGATGGAATTTGAGACCCTCCCGCCTTAGCCTCCCAGAGTGCTAGAATAAGTGCACTGCTCCCCAAGACAGGGCTGATTTATGCAAGGACACCACTGCTCCCCCAGTCCAGGCCAGATGCTCCCCTGATAGCCACAGGGTCCCTCTGTGTCACTGGTCAAGGCGTGCACACCTCCCTCTCCCCCCGCATTTTAAGATCCAGAGAAGTCCTGGGATCTTAGCAATGGCACAGTCAACCACAAAGTGTGGGGAGACCTCCAACTCTCTCTGGAAAGCTCTGTCGAGTCTTCCCGCTGGGGCCTCCCCTGGAGGACGCTCAGAAATAGTGATCATGGTGTCAACAACAAACATCACAACAAATGAAGACCAAGCCCCACACAGGGACGCGACAAAAAAAGAAAACCACGATTAACAGGAAAACAAGCTTCGCCCAGGTGGCCACAGGGGCTAAGAAAGGGGCTGCGAGCCCCCCAGGACTCACAAGCTGCACGGGGCCAGGCCCCGACTCCAGGGCCTCAGAGTCCGGGTGGCACCGGCTGGGCGCCCAAGCAGCGCAGCTCGGCTTGGGGGGCACCACGAGCCAGGAGCGCGGAGGCACGGGGCCGCCGCCGGCACCTTGGGGCGCAGGGGCACACGCTGCGGAAGGCCTGGCGGAAGTGGGAGCCCAGGAAGGCGTAGAGCAGTGGGTTAAGGGCCGAGTTGCTGTAGGACATACAGTGCGCCCAGGTCTTGAGTGCGTAGGCGGCGTAGCTGCGCGGGTGCCACTGGCCGGCCGGACCCAAGGCCTGCAGCACCAGGAACAACTGGATGGGGCCCCAGCAGGCGGCGAAGAGCAGCACCACGGCTGCCACCAGCCGGGACACCTTGGCGCGCACCGCCCCCGCGCGCTGGGCCAGCAGCCGCCCCTGGGGACGGAGGAGCCAGTTAGAGGGAAGGTGGGGTCAAACGGGTCCCCTAAACCGCGACGTCTCCAGCCCCGGGCCGCCCTGCTGGGCTGCAAACCTGGGAGGTGCTGTCGGAGGGCGCAGGGCGCAGGGCGGCGCGGCCGAGGTGGCGCAGCATGGCCCCGTAGCAGGCGCAGGTGGCCGCGAGCGGCAGCAGGTACAGCGCCAGCAGGTTGTAGAGGGCGAAGGCGCGCTCCAGGGCGGCGCTGGGGAAGGCCTCGCTGCAGTAGGTCCTCGGCCCCGGGGAGAGGCGGTGCAGGGCGAGCACCGGGGCGGACAGGGCCGCCGAGCCTAGGCCAGGCGCCAGGATGGAGACGCCGCCAGGGGCCCGGGGACAGAGCACACCCTGGGGACGGGACCCCGGGTCTTTGCCTTTAGCCATGCCCCACCCCTTTTATTATTTTAGTTGAGCCAGAAGCTCCCAAAATCGCCCAGACTGAGATCTTCCTGCCTCAGCTTCCAAGAGCCCTGGGATGCCAGGCTCCCATGCGCCCCTCGGGTTGCTGGGTGAGCCTCCTCCGCTAGGAAACCTTCCGCACGCATTTCCCAGATGCCAGCCTCAGGCCGGGGACAGGGACACCCATGGGCCCGCAGACCTGTCCCCCTCCTCTTCCCGCGGCCCCCCGAGCTGCACTCACCCACCCAGATGCCCAGGCTGACGGCCAGCGCCAAGCGCGGCGTGCGGCGGTGCAGAGCGCGCAGCGGGAACACGGTCACGTACCAGCGGTCCACGCTCATGGCGGTCAGGGTGGCGCACGTGGCCTGCACGGAGACCTGGAAAGGTGGGGAGAGGGCAACGCTCTGTGCTTGGGCCCTGTGTCCCCTCCCCACGCACACACATCGGGCCACGCAGACCGCGTTGGGGAGGGAACTTGGGACCTGCTCTTCCGCACCTCCTGCTACGGACCACCAGTTCGCAGCGGGTATCTCCATGGAAACACAGACCCCGCCCCTCAAAGACCCTGCCTAGATGACACCGCCCACACCTAGGCCCCGCCCTCAAGCCCACGCCCACTCACAGGCCACGCCCTGAGCCGCCCAAGAAAGGCACCGCCCCGCCCCGCCCCAAGACCCCGCCCCCACAGACCACGCCCCGAAAGGCGCTGCACACATCGACTCCCAAGCCACGCCCCACAGACCCACGCCCCGCCCCTCGCCCCGCGCCATCCCGGGTCCCCGGCCCAGCGCGCACCTGCTGAATGTAGTTGACGAACTTGCACATGAAGTCACCCAGCACCCAGGTCGGCAGCGGGTACAGCAGGGCCGTGAAGGGGACGCAGCACACCAGGAAGATCACGTCCGTGGCCGCCAGGTTGGCTGCGGGAGTCGGAGGGGCATGTGGGGTCTGGCCTCCCCGGCCCCAGGTGCACCCCAGAGCTCGGAGGAGCAGAGCTGCGCAGCCCCGGGTGCCCGTACGCTGGCCGCGCGCTCACCACCCGCCGCACCCCTGCCCTGGCACTGAGCGCTCCGCTCCGTCCCGGGCTCCGTTTCCTCCCTCCCAAACTGGGGTCGGCATCATAGTGTGGCGGTGCACGGCTGTGATCCCAGCACTGGGGAGGCTGAGGCAGGAGGATCGCTGAGAGTTCAGTCCCTGCCTGAAGTACATAAAGGGAACCTTATGTCAAAAAAAATAGTATGTGTGTCGGGGGGGGGGGGCGTAGCCCCACAGTCACCCCAGAAGGAACGCCGCGCGCACCCATGCACCCCAGCACCCAGAGGGGCCAGCTGAGGCTCAGAGCGCCCGGGGCAGCGGTCGAAGCTGCCCCAACACCCCACGGACCTGTGCATTCGAGCCACGGAACAATTTTGCAATAGGACTCTGGCAGTGGACGGGGTCTCCCGGGCACCCCTCTTTTTATGAGCCTCCTTTTTTAGTCTTTTTTGTTTTGTCTTGTTTTGGCGCTGGCGATGGAGCCCAGAATTTTTGCACTGAGTCACATCCCCAGCCCCTTTTTTATTTTTAATCCTGAGATGCGCGCTTCCTAAAATTGCCCAGGCTGGGCTCAAACTTGCGACCCTCCTGCCTCAGCCTTCCGGACGCGTGCGCCACAGTGCTCTGCTTCCCGGCAGCTGAGCGCCGGTGGCCGAGACAGCGAGCTCCGGTCTGAGGGGTGCAGAGACGAGGACTGGGGGGGGGGGCCTGCAGGAGAGAGAGCCGAGTCCTGGGGAGCCGCCCCCTCCGCCCCTGCGCCCGCACTCACCGATGTAGAAGTTGCTCACCGTCCGCATCGGCTTGTGGCGGCAGATGACGAAGATGACCAGCGAGTTCCCGGCCAGGCCAAGCACCATGAGCGCGGCGAAGAAGAGCGGCACCAGCCAGGCGTCCAGCGGCAGCGGCGCGGGGTCCGGGCCGTCCGAGCCGTTGCCCAGCGCCGCCCAGGACGCGTTGGGCCCCGGAGTGGCCGCAGCGCGCATGGCCCCGCAGTCTCCTGCTGCTCCTCCTGCGCGCCTGGACCCGGCCCGGGACGTCCGGGGGAGCTGGGGCGAGACGCGCAGGTCCCGAGGAGGTTCCCGGCGGTGCTGCTGGGCTCCGCGATTCCTCCGGTCGCGCGCAGCGCCCCGCGTTTATACCGTGCGCCCCGCCTTTCTCCCCCGCCTTCTGGCGGCTGCGCTGCGTGCGCGCCCCCCGCCACCATCCGCCCGCCCTTGTGGCACCGCCAAGGCCAAGGCCAGGGCCAGGGCGGGGGCGGGGGTGCAGGGAAGGGGAGCAGGGAGAATAGTGGGGGTGCTGGGGGGCCGAGACCCGAGGTGAGCGCTGCAGAGGGTCCCGAGCGTCTGTCCCAGGATCCCGGGTGCCTTGGACGGTTCTGGGTAGGCGAGGCACTGCTGACATGTGACTTTTTATTTTTAGTTTTTGGTGGTGTCAAGGATGGAAGTTGGGGTGTCCCGCCAGCTTGGCAAAGGCTCCCCCCACTGAGCGGCACTCCCCTCACCTTAGCCCTTTTTATTTTGAGGCAGGCTGGCCTCAAACTTTGCATCCTCCTGCCTGAGCCTTCCCAGTAACTGTGATTACAGGTGTGCGTGCACCACGGCCCCGCTCAGGTCCGGCGGGGTCTTGCTGAATGTGGAAGCTGGCGCCCCGTGGGGCGTCCGACTGACATCTGCAGAGCACGTGAGGGATTCGCACCTCTGGCTGCAGGAACCAGGGAGAAGGTGATTCTAAAAGGGGGGACCTGGACCCCACCATCCCACACCGGGGTCACCTCGTAGAGACCTCCCGCAGTCTGTCCTGGGCTTCGGCAGACTCAGGCCACAGCGGCATACTATGGAGCAGAGAAAAAGAGGCTGTCACTCAGCAAGAAATACTAAAAAGGGCTGGGGATTTAGCTCAGAGGTGTGAGTGCCTGCCTGGCAAGCGCGAGTTCGTGAGTCTGGTCCCTGAAACAAAAAAACAAAAAAAAAAAAAAAAAAAAAAAAAAAAAACTAAAAGAATCAGGGCATGGTGACACAAGTCTGTTATCCCCAAAGTGAGAAGACATGGAGCTCATCCAGGGCGACATGAGACCCTGACTCAAAGTGAAAATGAAAATAAACCAGGCACATGGCGCACGCCTGTCATCCCAGCACTCGGAGGCTTAGGCAGGAGGATTGCTGCGAGTTCGAGGCCAGCCTGGGCTACAAATTGAATTCAAGGCCAAGCTGAACCTTTTAATGAAACTCTCCCTCAGAAAAGACCAGAGAAATAAAAAAATAATAATAAACAAAACTAAAACCCAGGTGTGGTGGTGGATGCCTATAATGCCAGCATTGGAGAGGCTGAGGCAGGAGGATCACTGTGGTGAGTTCTAGGCCAGCCTGGGGTACATAGTGAGTTCAAAGCCAGGCTGGATTGCATGGCGAGATCCTGGCAAAATAAATACAAATATAAAAAGTGTTGGGGATGAACTCAGTGCAAAGGTCCTGGGTTCAATCCCCCAGAGTGTAAATTTATGCATGCATAAATATAAAAAGGAGAACTTAGGGAAGCAGGTGGCAGGCAGCGTGCTCTGGGATTAAGCTCCCACCTCTTTCCTGGACCTTTGCAGTTAACCCAGGAGCCAGATCTGGGAACTAAACGTCCCCGCCAGCGTTTCGCACCCCTGCCACGAGGGGGCGCGCTTGCCTCCCCATCGCTTTCTCTCCCTCTTCCCAGGTATCTGCACGAGTCTCACACCCTGTGCTCTGCTGGGTCCGCCGTCCCCAGCTTCTCTCCTTTCTCCCTCCTTGCTCTTTCTTTGCTGAAGCACTCGGGAGGCTGAGGCAGGAGGATCGCTGCGAGTTCGAGACCAGCCTGGGTTACAAAGTGAGCTCAAGACCAGCCTAGACTGCACAGCGAGACCCTGGCTCAGAAAAACAAAACAAAATCAGCCAGTGACACTTGATACAGGGCCATCGGGAAAGAGGAGCCCTTCTCGGCGGGACTGGCGCGACCACTGTGGAAGCCAGCGTGGAGATCCTCAAAGAACTGGGGCTGGAGATGTGACCCAGCCAGTCCCCTTCTGGCGTCTTCCTAAAAGAAGTAAGCGCCCCCTGCTTTTGTAAACAGGGAGAGGAGGCGGGGCTGGAGGGGGCAGGGAGCGGGGGAAATCCAGTTTTATGTGCAGGTACAAGTTCTCTAAGGCGCTTGTGATGATTGTGTTTATTTAAAATACACCAGTAGCTCAGCGCCGGCCTGGCAAGCACAAGGTCAGGAGTTCTATTCCTGGTGCCAAAAAATAAACAAAAAATTCGACTGAAAGAAAAAAACTCCTACAGCCAGCCTGCCGTGATGGCACACGCCTGTCATAGTACTTGGAAGGCCGCCAGGCGAGGCCCGCCTGCACTACACAGCAAGGCTTTGTCCCTAAAAAACCAAGGCAACCAACCAAACACACAAACAAAAGCAAACTCAGGGCACCGGTTCGCTCGGGATCGCCATGCCCCCGGGACTTTGCACAGGCTGTTCCTCTGCTGAGGCATCCTCCTCCCCACGGCCACTCCCGCTACCACGCAGCTCCTGGACTGCCCACTCCCGTCCCGCACTGGGGGGGCAGGAGCCTCTCTTGAGTCACCGCTGGAGCGCACGCATGCTTGTTGAATGAATAATAAACGTAGAAGGACAGAGAGGGGATGGGGTAACGCTGCCCCGGGTTTTTGTTATTGATTGACCGATTGATTTTGGAGACTGGGTCTCGCTATGCAGTCCAGGCTGGCCTCCGACTCGCACCGATCCTCCTGCCTCAGCCTCCCGAGAGCCGGGCTTCCAGGCGTGCGCCAGGGACCAGGAATCAGGGCCGAGCTCCGGTGGCGACCGCGCTGGGCCCCCGGGAGGCGGGAGGGCCGCCCCGCTCGCACTCCGCCGCCCCTCCCCCGCGTCCCCGCCGGGCCCCGCCCCCTCCGTCACTTCCGCCGGCGGCGCAGGCCGGCAGCGGGCGCGGAGCGCGGCCCGGCCATGGTGGCGCTGGAGACCCCGGAGGGCGGCGCGGAGGCGGCGGCCGGGGGCGCCCCGGGCGCGCGGCGGAGGCTGTGAGCGCGCGGGGGCTCGCGGGAGACTGGGGGGCGCGGGCTTCCCCCCCCGGGCCGGGCCCCGCGCCCTCCCCTTCCTCCCCGCACCCCACACTTGGGGCGTCTTCCTGGCTCTCGGGAGCCCACGAAGTGCCCGGGGAGGGCTCCGCTCCCCCGGCTCCGTGTCTGTCTCGGGGGCGGGGGGTCCCCGAGGCTGCCCGGCCGGCTTGGGCGCCTGCACCCCGCAGGGCTGTGAGCGCACCCCTGCGTCCTGCAGCCGCGCTCCGCCTGCGCCCGGGGTGCGAGGCCAGGTTTAGTGGGGAGGGGTCTGCGCCTCGGGGCCTCATGGGGGTCCCGGGACCCTGACGGGGCTGGACCTGCGTGGGTCTCCCACTGTCCGTGGAGGTGACGTTTGTGGGGGTCCATTTCTTGTTTTGCTTTGTTTTTTTGCGACACGGTCTCGCTGTGCAGTCCAGGCTGGCCCTGAGCTCGCTTTGTAGCCCAGGCTGGTCTCAAACTCGCAACGATCCTCCTGCCTCAGCCTCCCGAGTGCTGGGACGACAGGCGTGCATCAGAATGCCCGGCTTTGGGGTTTATTTCTGCCTCCTACAAAGGAGTCTGTGAGATTTGAGTCAGTTATTGGGCCCATTGCCTCAGTTTCTCATCTGTAAAATGGGATTTCATTGGTGACTGCTTTTGAGTACCTGAGACCAGGCACCCAGCTCTTAGGTGCCCACGGTGACAGGAACGTCTGTTTGTATATTTTAATTTTTCCATACTGGTGATGGAACCCAGGGTCTTCACACTGGGTTACAGTCCTACCTCACCCCCACCTTTTTTTCCCCCTGAGACAGGGTCTCACTTTGTAGTTTACCTTGAACTCACAGAGATCCTCCTGCCTCAGCCTCCCGAGTGCTGGAATGACAGGGGTGCCCCCTCCAACTTGGCTTCTTAGCCTTTTTTTTTTTTTTTTTTTTTTTTTGAGACGGTCTCATTGTAGTCCAGGCTGGCCTGGAGGTCGTTGAAATCCTCCTGCCTCGACCTCCCTAGTGCTGAGATGAACAGGTGCGCGCCATGCTGGGCTCCTTCTAGGTGGTCTTTGTGACTCCCCTGAATGTCCTCTTGTGTCAGTGACTTTACCATCACTTAGTGTGATTTCGTCACCGCATGCTGTATTGCTGTCTCATTAGTGGTTCCTCATTGCTTTGTGGACACCTAGGCGGGGGCCTGCTGAGTCACGGGGTGGCCCAGGCGGGCCTGCAACTTGAGATCCTCCTACCTCGGGCTCTTCTCCTGCTTGGAAGACAGGTGTTGGCCCTGGAGCCAGTTTAGGTGCGAGAGGCAGGTGTGGCCCTGGGTGTGGAAATGTGGCCCAGGCGGGTCCCTGGCAATCTTCTCCTCCTGCCCGGGGGCTGGGAGTCGCTGGTCTCCCCGACCCCTGCCTTGCCCGCACCTGCTGAGTCCTACGCCCTGTTTCCTGTTGGGGAAGTCCTGTAGCTTCCTCTTGTCCTGGGGCTGGCCGAGCAGGGGCAGGGAGGACCCTGGGCCTTTCCCCTGAGCTTGGTCCACAGCCCTTCATAACATTTTTTTTCATAAAATATTTTGAGACAGGGTCTTACAGAGTCACTCAAATTGTCCAGGCTGGGTTTGAACTTTCGATCTCCCTGACTCAGCCTCCCAGGGTGTGCTCATCCCCGGGCAGTGGCAGTGTGCAGGGAGAAATGGGCTCTGGGGCAGGGGGGAGGCCGGTTTTCCTTAGGCTCCCGCTGGAACCCCACAGCGTGAGCATCTCTAGCACCCCTTAACTGCTCAGTTTCTCTGGCTGTAAAGTGGTCTCATTGGATGGTGTGGAAAAGTGGCCCAACTGCTCTTGGTTAATCATGTAAAAGAAGTTTTGTTATTCACTCAACAAACAATGGCCGGGGTGACCCCTCAATGGCTGCTGCAGGTTGTGTGACTGAGGGCCGCGCTTGTCCTTCTGGGTTCAGAGCAGTAGAAAGTGGCTCGGGAGTAAACAAGAAGTTGGTGGCCCAGCTGGTTCCGGTGCCAACCTGGAAGCAGGAAGAAAGACTGGAACCTGGGGTGGGGCGCTGTAGGAAGGTGACATTGGGAAAGAGACCCAGGGAGTCAGATAGAGAAAGGTGCTGGGCGGAGGGTTGGGCCTTTGGCACCCCAGGGTGACTTGGGGTCAAGGTCGGGTCAGAGTGGTGCCTGCGCATGCGCGGTGGAGGGTAAAGGCATGTTTCCCCGGGCGGCTCCCAGGCGGTGCGCCTGGGCCCCGGATGTAGGCTCTTATCTGCGCCAAGCAGCTGCCTGGTGTAGGGAGGTTGGGGTTCCCTGGGGCTCAGTAGGGCACCCCCGAGGTGCCAGCCTGGCACAGTGCACAGCGTTCTCCGAGCACCCAGGGGACGTCACTGTGCCCAGACTGGCTTTGCAGCGCCCGCCCCTGCAGCTGAGGGCGGAGACACTGCCCCTGGGTTTCCCAACCTGTGCGTGACATCAGCTGCACAGTGTTTGTCTCCTCGAGGGACAGTGTAGGGGACGGGGAATGAGCCCAGCATGGAGGCAACGCCCGATGTAGGGAACCCCCGTGGCCAGGCACGGTGAGTGAGGGAGTGAGCTCCCCGTCCCAGGAGGTAGGCAGGTGGGTGAGCCTGGTTTTTATATTTTATTTTGTTTTTTTTGAAACAGGGTCTCTATGCATTTTAGGCTGGCCTTGAACTCACTTTGTACCCAGGCTGGTCTCAAACTCGCAGTGATCCTCCTTCCTCAGCCTCCCGAGTGAGTGCTGGGATCACAGGCGTGCGCCACCATGCAGAAACTTAGTGCTGGGGTCTCCGGACACAGGTGCAGACCCAGCACACCCTGCGCTCACGCCTGGCCTTCCGGGTGTCTTACCGCGGGCCCTGGAGTGTCAGGAGGCCGTGTCTCTTTTGATTTTTTGGTATCGGGGATCGAACTCAGGACCTCGAATTTGCCAGGCGGGCGTGTGCCGCTGAGCTAAACCCCTGGCCCGAGCCCGTTTATCTTTAATTTGTGTGGTGGACACTGAATGCCAGGAAACTTTGGGTGGACTTTTCCGCTGTGCCTTGGAATCATGAGATGATTATTGCTGAGCACTGATTGGGGAGTTGTTTTTAATTCTTTGCAGTACTAGGAATTGAACCCAGGGGTGCTGTACCGCTGAGCCTCGCCTCTAGCCCCTCATAATTTTTAAAATATATGTTTGGTTTGTTTTGTTTTGCACTAGGGATCAAACTCACGACCTCAACCTCACCAGGCAGGAATTTTTACAATTTTGAGCTAATTTCTCCATTAAGTAGTTCCGGCTGGGCCCCACTGCGGTACTCTCCTGCCTCAGCCTCCCGCGTAGCTGGGTTGATGGCGGAGCAGCTGCACTAGGCCTCCAGATGGGGGGCTTTGCGAGTTTGGGGCGTCTGGCCTGCTGCGCTTTCTCCTGCCTGCAAAATTTCCTTCCCAGAGCTGCCGCACACCCTGGGTGGCCACTGAGACTGGCACCTGCCTGCCCCCCAGCAGGAGGCTCGCCCGGTGCCGGCGGGAGCCCGCTAATCCGCGGCCACTTAAGCCCCATTGGTTTGGGATTAGTTTAGCCCTGCGGCTCCGCAAGGTCCCCACACTCGCTCAGGCCAGGCGGCTTTAACGCGGCTTCCTGCTGCTGCGGTGGGGGCAGGCTTGAGAGTCTAGGCTCTTGGTTCCCTAGAGTCCCCAGGGCCGCAGGTTCGAGTCCCGGCGGCCCTGGGCCCCCCTGGGCTTGAGACTGAAACCCAGCCGGCTTGGAGCTGTTTGCCTGACCCAGCTGCAGTCTGATTCCGCCCAGGAACCCCCTTGTCATTGCTTCCAGGCCTCTTCAGGGCTGCCTGCCTGCCCTAGCCACCTCCCAGGTGAAGAGGTTCTCAGCCTCCAGACGGAAGCAGCACTTCATCAACCAGGCCGTGCGGAACTCAGACCTGGTGCCCAGGGCCAAGGGTCGGAAGAGCCTCCAGCGGCTGGAGAACAGTAGGCAGGGCTGTGGGGGGCGTGTTGGTACTGGTCAGGGGGCAGGAAACAGACTTCTCCCCAACTAGATCAGAGCTGAGTCCTGTCTGGGCGTTGGAACTGGGGCTTTAACAAAGCAGATCGAAGGACGCGGGAGCTGTGGAGGTTGCATAGCTTCCGCCTGTTTTCATCCAGCCCAATACCTCCTGACCCTGCTGGAGACAGACGGGGGGCCACCTGCTCTGGAAGATGGGGACCTGACGCCTGCCGCGGCCCCAGGCATCTTTGCAGAGGCCTGCAGCAATGCCACCTACATGGAGGTAAGGCCAGGCCAGGCCAGGCCAGGCGCCTGCCCTTCCCGGGAGTCCCCGGCCCGGTTCCAAGGCTCCTGGTGTTGGATAAGGAGCCCACTAGGGTGTGGGAGCTGCGTTAGCACCCCCACAGTGTCTCCGGCCTGCCTCCTGTGTCCATTTACACTGCCAGAGGGGAAACTGAGGCCCAGTGTGGTGGTCACCGCCCGCCTCTCTTCCAGGTATGGAACGACTTCATGAACCGCTCCGGGGAGGAGCAGGAACGGGTGCTGCGCTACCTGGAGGACCAGGATCAGAGCAGGGCCCGGAGGAGGGGCCCTGGCCGCGGTGAAGATCGCCGAAGAGGTGGACTTGTGGGTGGGCCCAGGGTGTACATGGCGGGTGATTGGTGGGTGGGAGCCGTTTTAGGGGTGTGGTCAAGACGGATTGGGACTTGCATGTAAGAAGGGGGTGTGGCTCGGGTGGGCAGAGCTTTGGGGTGGAGCCAAGAGCTAGGGTGCGGGTTGGCCAAGGCTGGAGTGGCAGGACCAACCAGCAGGGGTGGACGGGACCAGGATATGAAAGGGGGTGTGGTTTGTCGGTGGGCGGGGCCTAGGGTGGGGCCTCACAGCCATGGTGGCTTCTTCCAGAGGACCCAGCCTACACCCCTCGCCAGTGCTTCCAGCGCATCAGCCGACGCCTGCGATCCGTGCTCAAGCGGGGTCGCATCCCCATGGTACGTGCCAGGCCAGCCAGCTGCTTTTTTCTCCCAACCACGTTTTTCTTTAGGGTTTGGGATCAGGTTGAAGGGAAACAAATTATCCAGGGCGGGTTGCATGATGGGACACAAAGGATATAGACCCAAGAGACTATAGGGATAATGGAAGTGGGCACAGCAGGATGTATAGGAGTTCGCTAGGGGGAAGGAACAAGATGGATGTGGTATGGACATGTTTAAGTGCCTCGTACTATTGGGAACAGCCTCATGTAGTGGGTCATATTGCCATTCAGGCCCCAGAGGCTGTCCCAAGCCCCGGGAACCTGACCAACAGGCAGGGTCACACAGTGGCCTGCCATCTGGGGCATCTCTTCTGCAGGAGACGCTGGAGACCTGGGAGGAGCGGCTGTCGAGGTTCTTCTCCGTGTCCCCCCAGGCCGTGTACACGGCTATGCTGGACAACAGGTAGTGGGCGTGGAGAGCCCTCCTGCTGCCCTCGCACCGCGGCTTTCATCCGCAGCTAACTCCCTCCCCTCCGCAGCTTCGAGCGGCTGCTGCTCCACGCCCTGTGCCAGTACATGGACCTCATATCAGCTAGTAAGTGCGGCCCGCGGTGGCCGGCAGCAGGGGGCAGGTGGAGGGAGGCGTGGCAGTGGGGTCCACAGCAGTCGGGCTGGTGGTGCAGTCTGTCCCCCAGCGTGCTGGGAGGCTGAGGCAGGAAGATCCCAAGTTGAAGACTAGAGTGGACTGTTGAGCAACATAGCAATACCCTGTGTCAAGAGGCCTGGGCTTCCATCCCCAAAAAACAAAACAAAACAAAAAACCCATCAAGTGCTGGGGACAGAGACCCGCTTGGCCTCTGCGTCACTCCGGCAGGGGATCCCAGTTGTGGTGACCAAGCCTGGGCAATGAGACCAGGCCTCTGTCTGGGCGTGCATAGGCATAAGGCCCCCCTTGTGCCCCACCCCGTGTCCCCGCCTTTGTGGAGGGAGGGAGCTAGCACAGCCCAAAGCACCCCCGTGTGGTCCCAGCTTCCCACACCTGTCCCTGGCTCCTGCCTGGAGTTGCCAGGGAGATGGTTTCCATGGCAACCCAGGCCTTGCCGCCCCTCCTGAGCTTCAGCCCTACACCTACCTGCTTTTGTTTCTGCAGCCTGAGCTGGCGGGGGCAGGGCGGCTGCCCGGGGCCCAACCTGGGCTGGGCCTGGACCCACTGGGCCTTCGTGTCCTTGCCTGCATGTGGGACGCGAGGGGGGCACTCAGGGTCATTTCTTCCCCCACCAACGCCTTGCACTCGCAGGTGCTGAGCTGGAGGGCGGGAAGCAGATGAAGGTCAGCAACCGCCACCTGGACTTCCTGCCCCCCGGGCTGCTCCTGTCTGCCTACCTGGAGCAGCTCAGCTGACGCCACCATACCACGTCCAGACCAGACCTCCGAGGCCATCTGCTGAGACACGTCCTGTTTTTAGACTTCATTCTTAGAAACCAGCTTGCCCTCTGGGGTGGCCCTTTCTCCTTCATCCTTGTCCCCCACCCTGCACAGTTCTTAAAAGATCAAGTCTGGGGACAGGGGTTGCCTTGAGTGTCCCAGCCCCCACGTGTACCACCCTGGGACTTGTGTTTGGGTGGGGAGATCTCACTGGGTACTTCCATCTGAAAGTTTTGTATAGCTTTTTTTTTTTTTTTAATTTGGGTTCAGCCTGAGGCTTGAACAGCCAGCAAGAAGGCTGAATTTTTGTCACTTTTAATGAATTAGGCAAGGTTTGTTACAGACTTTTAAATTTGTCTTTTGGAGGGAAAAACCAAAAAAACACCCCGGTGGTTTCCTGTGGGGCTTTGTCGTGGTCCCCGCTTGTCTTTTACCACTTTTTAAGCTGTCCTTGTGTGTGTCGGCGTGTGACCCCCACAGGTCCCCGAGACCCAACACGCAGCTTTGTCTCAAGGGCTGGTGCGTGATGCTTTTAATGTGTGAGCCACCACGCCCCACCGGCCTGCTCCTCACACACCCCCGGTATTCTGGGGACCCAGGACTTCCAGCCAGAAGCCTCTGTCCTCACCTCCTCTGCACAGCCTGGCTCTGGCTTGGGAGGTCAAGGGGCCCCAGGGCACCCGGGTATGGAGCAGGCCACCCCCGGCCCCTGTGTGGCCCCTTGTTATGTGTGGTGGGGGTGGGGAGGGGTGACGTTTAATAAATTACTGGTGCTCTGGCCACAGGCTGCGTTGTTTGTCGGGTCAGCACTTCGCAGGTCTTGGTCCCTGAGGGTGAGAGCCTTGGGTGACAGGCTTCTGTGAGACCCAGCCGGTCCTCATGGGTACCCGGGTCCCCCTGCAAGCTTTGGGACACCGATGGGGATGGGGTCTCTTGTGGGAGGCTGGTGAGGCGGTTACTGGTTCCCCCTAGCTGCACAGCGAGGTAGGAGGCGCCTGGCAACTTAGCGACCAACTCAGAACCAAAAAGGCTGAAACAAATAATTACAAAAAGGGGGATGGGGACTGGGCATCTTGGGGCGCAGGCCTGTCATCCCTGCGCCCGGGAGGCTGAGGCAGGAGATCACTGCCAGTTCAAGGCCAGCCTGGGCTACACAGTAAGGCACCGGGCCCTGGACTGTATCTCCAGCACTGCAAAAAACAAAAACTACAACCCGAGCCACTGAAAGATGAGCTGCTCGCCTCTCCCGCCTCCTGGGGCCCTGGCCAACGTCCTCAGTTGCCACCTGCCTGGCTCCAGACGTCCCCCGCTGCTGTGTGCTCCGTCGGTCGGTCCCAGTCTGGTTCTAACAGCCCTTGCTCTAGGGAGTCCACACCCTGGAGCCCGTGCGTATCTGATGGCCTGTGAAGTGAGATGGACAAATGGATGAACAGACGGACAGATGGACAGATGGCTGGGCTGTTGGCTATCCAGGCTGCCCGGCCTCCTCTAGGGTGTCCCTTTCTGTATTTAGTTTACAGCAACCCCCCCCACTCTCCACTTTTGGTTTTTCAAACACAATTTGGCACACACACACACACACAAAAGCCAGGCAGCCAGGAGATGCAGCTCAGTGCCAACGTTGGGTCCTATCCCCAGTACAGAAGGGGGAAAAAAGTACCCCGGCGTCCCCACCCCTCGAAGCCCAGACTGACCTCAAATTCTAGATGATTTTCCTGCCTCAGCCTCCCGAGTGATGGGATGACAGGACCAGCCAAAAAAAAAAAAAAAAAAAAAAGGCTCCTTTCTGTAACAGGGATCAAACTCAAGACCTTGTGTTTAGCAAGCAGGAAGCTATGCCACTGAGCTAAGTCTCCAGGCCCTTCTTGACTCTTATTGTGAGGCAGGGTCTCTTTAAGCCATTAACTTACCAAGATGGATCTAGAACTGGATCGTCTTGCCTCAGCCTCCCACAGTGCTGGGATGACAGGCGTGTGACCCCACACCTGGTCCAAGCATCCACTTTTGGAAAAAGAATTGGGGGAGATGTTTAAAACTGAAATGACCCACAAGTTCACAAGCCACCATGTGGGTGTACGGTTTGGAGGCCCCGTCTCACAGTAAAAAACCTGGGAATGCAGCCCACTGGTTAGTGCTTGCCCTGGGGACCCTCAGCTCCGGTTCCATACCCAGCACTGCTTTAAAAAAAAAAGTCAACCTATGATCCCGCTCCCCTACTTGCCTGTGGAGACCAGACTTGGCTGAGTTCCTGCAGCACTGTTTACAAAATGCCCAAGGCATGGACGAGGTCCCAGGGTACCTCAATAGATAAGTGGACCAAGAAAATGGATGTTTATGCAGAATGGAGTACTACTCAGGTGTAAAAAGGAGGCCGCATCTTTCGTGGGAAAACAGATGGAACAGGAAGTAATGTTAAGTGAAACAATGTTCTCTCTTCTGTGTGTGGAAAAAGCAGGAACGCTTAAAAAATGGAAACGTCACATGAATCATAAAAAGATGAAGGTATGTCATGTGTCACATGTGTCAGAGGCTGTTTTTCTGCCAGTGAGCATCAGGACCGAAGAGATAAAAAATATGGAACGCTTCACGAATTTGCGTGTCATCCTTGCGCAGGGGCCATGCTAATCTTCTCTGTATCGTTCCAATTTTAGTATATGTGCTGCCGAAGCGAGCACAAACCAGGTGCTTGCTCACCACCTATTTAAAGACCCTAAAATAAATCTCTTTTCAGTAAGGGTGATTACTTTTTAAAATTTCACTGGCTTTTTTTTATACTATTAGTATCCAAACATCGAAAAACTGAATATATTAATTAGTCAAAGTTCATAAAATGTCTTTCATTTCTATCATATATAACTGCAGTGGCTGCTGGGAATTTCTATATGCAAATAATCCAAGAAGTCAAGCTGTGCTGGAGCCATCGCCATCCCACAGGTCTTTGCGAAGCCCTGGTGCCGCTCCGGCGACTCGTTGGTCCGGAAAAGATGGCGGCACAGGAGTTGGGCCGCTGGGGCGAGTACGGGCCGCGGCCGCCCGCTCGGCTGGGCGCTCGTGCCAGCCAGGTGAGCGCGTAACTGTGGCGGCCTGGAGAGGTCTGCCGGCCTCCGGACGGCATCCGCGGCCCCTGGAAGTTACTGCGGGACCTGCCGGATGCGGGGCGGGGCTTACAGGTCAGGGGGCGGGGCCGGCCGTAGAGGATCCTGGGTAAGCGACTTGAAGCTCGGGGTGGGGCCTTGGGCGGGAATTTGGGGTGAGACCCGCACTGATGCCCACGCTGGGGTCGGGGAGTGGGGTCTGAGGACCTTGAGTGTCTGGGAGCAGGACAGAGAGAGCTGAGGGTGCAGGGACGGTCGCAGAACTTGGTACGGGGTCTGGAGGTCTTGGGTCCCTGGGTGCAACCTGGGAGTTTGTGGCCCACCGGGGAATCGCGGGGTCTGGAGGTGGAAGCGTGTTGGGGGCAGGGCCTGAAGGCTGTTTAAGGGGCCTGTGATGAGAGCTTGGGGTCCAGGGTGCGACGTGTAGGGTGAGAAGCAACGGCGCGGGGGGTATTGAGCGAAATGAGTCAGAGTACTTGTGTTCCCCCGGCCACTGCAGTGGTGCAGGGAGATGCTGTCCCATTGATGCCAAGTCCCTAGAAAGTCACTGCCCCTCCCGCCCTGCCCCTTACGTCCTCAAAGCCTCTGCTCTCCCCTCAGAATAGACCCAGCGTCCATGCACAGTCTCTCCTGACCCCCTTCCGCCCTTGCTGTCCCCTGCACCAGGGCAGTGACCTCTCCCTGTCCCCCACTGCACCCATACCCTCCATGATTTGCCCCTGGAGAGTGCAGCCTGAAGGGCCTGCAGAAACCTAAGACTGTGTCCGCCCTCTTGGCTCCCACCTGGTGGAGGATGGACACCCACAGGCCCGGGAACGTCCCCCCACCTTCTTGTCCTAAAATCGCCACGCTTAAATCTGGCCACAGCCCAGGCTGCATGTGACCCCTGGACCTTTGCACTGGCTGATGCTGTCCTTAGTTCCCTCCGGGCAGCCCAGTATAACACTCATCGCATCATCCCTGCCCCTGACAGGAGCCAGCAACGGCCTTGGGCACGGTGGGCACCATGGATCTGGCATACGTGTGCGAGTGGGAGAAATGGCCCAAGAGCACCCACTGCCCCTCGGTGCCCCTGGCCTGTGCATGGTCATGCCGAAACCTCATCGCCTTCACCACGGACCTGCGGAATGATGACCAGGGTGGGTCCCTGCCCAGCCCGCTGCTCCCTGCGCCTTCGGAGATGGGCAGCCAGGGTCTTAAGCCCCGTCCCTCTGCACTGGGGGTTGGGCATTGTCACCTCCAGGAAGCAGAGGCTCAGAGCCCTCCCATGCCTGGGACCTGGGGTTGCCCTGGTGAAGGCAACCGTGGGTGGACTGGCTAGGGCACGGTGACTCGGTGACTCAGGCCCCTGCTGGCGGGCCTGGCCATTGCTCTGGTAATAGGAGCTGTTAGGGTCACAAAGCACAGAGGCTCAGGATAATGAGGGAGACGGAGAGGGAGGCGCCCACTCGGAGCCTTTGAGGTCATTTTCTTCCCGTTTCATTGTCTGTGTCTTGTTTATGTATTTATTTATAGCGCTGGAAATTAGGCCTCAGCCTGAAACCCAGTTTTAGTTTTTATTTTGAGAGTGGGTCGCACTGAGCCATCCAGGCTTCTCTGCAATTTGCAACCCTCCAGACTCGGCCTCCCAGAGCATGGGGGGGCCAGGTGTGCGCCACCACCCCTGGCTTCTGTGTCCCTTTCAAAAGCATGTTCGAAGCCACATCGGCGGCCAGTTCCTTACATTTCAGCTGTGGTCCTTAGCACAGGGACCACCCCATGGGCTTCGGCCTCCTCTGGCAGGCCCAGGTGGCAGGGCTGACCATGGCCAATCCCCCCCAGACCTGACCCGCATGATCCACATCCTGGACACCGAGCACCCCTGGGACGTGCACTCCATCAACTCGGGCCACAGCGAGGCCATCACCTGCCTGGAGTGGGACCAGTCAGGTGAGGCTGGGAGCCTGGGTCTGCAGGTCCCCGAGCTGTGGGTCCTGCCTTTCGGGCTCAGTCCTCTCGTCCAGGGAGGCCATGACGTAGCTCTGTCCCACAGGCTCCCGGCTGCTCTCGGCTGATGCCGATGGGCAGATCAAGTGCTGGAACATGGTGGACCACCTGGCCAACAGCTGGGAGAGCCGTGTGGGCAGCCTGGTGGAGGGCGACCCCATCGTGGCCCTGTCCTGGCTGCACAATGGTGTCAAGCTGGCCCTGCATGTGGAAAAGGTAGGTGGCCCCAGCAAGATGCGCGCCCCACTGCCCACCGGCCATCCTGTCTGCTGTGCAGTGTGAGCGTCCTAGGTTCCTCTGTGAGCTCTGGACGAGGTTCACACCTAGAATCAAACTCTGAATCTGAGTTCAAGCTGGGAATGGTGGCTCAGACCCGTCATTCCAGCATTCAGGAGGCTGACAGGCAGGATGATTGTTGCAAGTTCGAGGCCAGCCTGGGCTACAAAATGAGCTCAAGGCCTACCTGAACCACAGTGAAATCCTACCTCAGAAAAACCAAAAAAAATTTGTTAAAAACACCAAAACTTTGGGCTGGGGTTTTAGCTCAGCGGCATAAGCGCCTGCCTGGCACGTGCAAGGTCATGAGTTCAATCCCCAGTACCACCAAAAAAAAACCCCACAAAACCAAACCCCAAAACCTGGGCCAGGGGTTTAGCTCAGCGGCCCAAGTGCCTGCTTGGCAAATGTGAGGTCATGAGTTT